CGCCGGTGAGTCCCCATGGGGCACCCTACCCCACCCCATGGCCAGGCCCCCCAGCACCCCCGTGACACCCCTCTGTCCCGGCAGGTCAGCACTCTTCTATGTGGACCTCATGGGCGGGAGATGCGGTGAGCAGCACGTGCCCCACCCCTGCCAGTGCCCTGGCTGCCCACAGCCCCTGACCATCCCCTTGTGTCCATGCAGAGCTGCTCTCTGAGGACACCAGGGCCGTGTGGTCCCCACGGCTCAGCCCCGACGGTTGCCGCATTGTCTACCTGGAGAATGACATCCTGGGCCCCCACCAGCAGTGCAGCCGCCTCCGCATGGTGAGCAGCACGGGGGGGACACCAGGGAGGTGGGAGGGTGTCTATGCCAGGGTGAGGGCTGGCAGGAGGGTGGTGGTGCCCCCTTCCTGGGGGCAGGAGGGCCAAGATCCTGCAAAACTCACCCCATGCCCTGTCTTCTGCAGTACGATTGGTACACCAAATACACCAGCACGGTGCTGGAGACCGTGCTGCGGCAGTCATGGGGTGAGTAACGCCCTGGGGGTGTTGGCAGGGGCAAACAGGGAGGTGCTGAGCACCTACACTCTGATCACAGGCACCTTCCCTGGCATCTACTGCAGTGCACTGCCAGGGCTATGCTGGGCAGCTGACAGCCGCAGGATCCTGCTGGACACGGCCCAGCGCAGCCAGCAGGTGAGGGGATGGTGGGGAGCATGCGGGGGGATGTCTGGGTCAGGGCTTCACTGGACTCTGCCCTTGTGCCCCTAGGACGTGTTTGTGGTGGACACAGCGACAGGTGACACAACATCACTGACAGCCAGTGAGTGACAGGTTGATGAGACCATGCCAGTGCCAGGGGTGGGGAGGGGATCACAGCTGCAGGTCTGATGCTCCTTTTCTCCAGATGCCCCCCAGGGAAGCTGGTCTGTCCTTACCATTGACCGGGACATCTTGGTGGCCAGGTTCTCCACCCCTAGCTGCCCCCCGACATTGGTAAGGTCATGTCCCACTCCCAGCACCCAGCAACCCCTTGGCACTGGTACTAACCCTTCTCTCCAGTGCTCACCAGCCCCTTGGTGCTAGCACTGACCCCTTTCCCTGCACAGAAAGTGGCAATCCTGCCGAACGCTGGCCATGAGGCACAGGCACAGTGGGTCTGTCTGCAGGACACACTCCCCGTGCCCGGCATCAGCTGGGGCATCCGCACCTTGCAGCCCCCACCAGAACAGGAGAACCCCCAGTATGGTGAGTGCCCAGAGAGGGCCAGGCCAGGCTCTGGCATCCCCACCAAGCCCTGATGCCCCCCACCCCACCTCTGCAGGGGGCCTGGATTTTGATGCCATCCTGCTGCGCCCAAGCGAGGGTCCTGCTGTCCAGAAGCCCCCCCTGATAGTGATGCCCCATGGTAAGAGCTTGCCTCGACCCTGTCACGCCTTGTGCTCCAGTCGGGCAGCATCAGCCCCACTTTGCTTTCTGTGTTTACAGGGGGTCCCCACTCTGTCTTCACGGCTGGGTGGATGCTGTACCCAGCGGCACTGTGCCGCCTCGGCTTTGCTGTGCTGCTGGGTGAGTGATGCCAGGGCATTTCTGGGTGGCACAGCACCCACAGAGAGGCTGGGGTGGGGGTACATAGAAGGAAGGGCTCTGACAGTGCCCCCCATCCAGTGAATTACCGTGGTTCGCTGGGCTTCGGCCAGGACAGTGTGGCCTCCCTGCCAGGCAATGTAGGCACACAGGACGTGCACGACATGCAGGTACATCCTGGCACGTGGTTATGGGGTGCTCTGTGCTTCTGTGGGTGCCCCAAGTGGGGAAAGCAGGGCTGCCTGCCTTAGTGGATGTCCTCCATGGTGGCAGTTCTGTGTGGAGCGGGTGCTGCAGGAGGAGACCCTGGATGCCAGCCGGGTGGCACTGGTGGGCGGCTCACACGGGGGCTTCCTGGCATGCCACCTAATCGGACAGTTCCCTGACACCTACCGTGCCTGCGTGGTCCGCAACCCTGTGGTGAACATTGCCTCCATGGTGTCCACCACCGACATCCCTGACTGGTGAGTACCACTGCCCCCAGCCTCCGGCCCCCTGCCATTGTGGCCCCACACGTGTCCCCGTCTCTCTTGCCCGCAGGTGCCTGACGGAGACTGGGCTGCCCTACTCACCTGTTGCCCTACCAGACCCAGCCCAGTGGACGGAGATGCTGCACAAGTCACCCATGCGCTATGTCAACCAGGTATATCTCTATTCCTACCCCCTTCCCTGTCGCCGTCCCCGCCAGCAGTGCCAGCGCTGAGGCCGTGCTGCTTCCACAGGTCCGTGCACCCGTGCTGCTGATGCTGGGGGAAGACGACCGGCGTGTGCCCCCCAAGCAGGGGCTGGAGTATTACCGTGCCCTCAAGGCCTTGGGGGTACCCACACGGTCAGTGGC